GGGGGGGGGGGAGCTGGTGAAACGATTCCTAGTCTCCACCATTCGCTTTCAAGTTTATCGCATTCTGGGGGGAGGAGAAAAAAAGAAAAATGCTTGTGACCTAAAACTGGGTCGCAGCGACAGCTTTTCATTATCGTGCTTTTAAATGACAGATGTGCAGGAAGATTTTTGTTATTGTCTCAGTGCGCTTTTAATACAAAAGTATGGTTACGCCTGGAGCGCTAGAGAAGGGTTTTGTTTTACAGGACAGTTATTTCTTGTTCGCAACAGTAGGACAGGCATCAGTCAACAGGCATGTATTTACTTAGGGAGAAAACGCGTATCAGCCATCTAGAGACCCGTAAGAGCAGAAAGAGTATTACTCCGTTAATATGTTATTCTTGAAAATGTATTATACATTAATGAAAATAGTAGCCCAAATGTAAAAAAGCAGTTTTACAAGATTACAAGCTGTTGTTCGGTGTTTATAGTCTCTTTCTGTTTTCTGATTGCCCTAGTCTACTCCTCTCCTCTTGGTGGAAGGAGGCGGGGGCACCTGTAAACAGCGTAGCCCAGGTTACACTAATCTATTGCAGTACATTTGAGATTATTATAAAAAGTACTCTCTGGGAGACCTAGGATTAGGTAATAAGTAAGGACTCTTGGGCATAATATTCAGTTTATGTTTAAAGTAGATACTTCTGAGATTCAGTTTTTGAAATTTAAGTATACAGAATTTCTGAGCCATTCGAACCTTGTTTGAACTTATAATGAACAGAAGATCGTATTTGGCTTCTTTTATAAGAATTTTGTTTTGTTTTGGCCTGAATTAAACATTCTGAGCAACATTTACGTCATTTTCGCAATTTCCCTTTGGACTGCAGCTCTCAGTAGGAGTTCAGAATAGCATATATCACCATCATCTTTATATATACTATATGCTATATAATTTTCTTTTTCTGAATGATTAAACATAGACCTACCTCATTGTGGAATTTTATGGGAATGCACTTGTTAGGAAGGTTAATTGATCTTGATACAAGCCCAATACTGGAAAAAAAAAAAAAAGAGTAAGTTTTGGCCTGAGTTTTGAATTTATGTACACAAATTTACACTTTTGAAAATTGGTGAAGTGATATATACTTTTCATTTGTGCAAGAGAGCTACCAAGCTGATGCTGATTTGTTCAGAACTTTTTCATATGAATTACCACTGTCCTTAGTAATTATTGATTCTTAAGCTTCTGGAGCTGTTGGCCTATTTATGGCAACTCAAATAATATTTGGAATAAATAGGAAGCTGTAAGAAGGAAGAGATAGGGTATATGACATTTATTAATTTATTCAAACAATAACAAAAATCATGGCAGAAATGTAAAAGAAAAATTATTTTCTCATTAAGCAATACTAGTTACATTATCTTTCTTGTTTGCAGATTTTTTCTAAGCAGTCTACTTTCTATGAAAACCTGGATTTAAGCACTGATACACACAGGGATGTTTGATATATTACAGATCTGTACTATTACTGTTTAAATGGATGGTTTATTATTCTAAGTGGAAAACAAAAGTATCTCTAGCAGGAAAATTGACTTGTTCTTCTTGTCCTCTCTGATGTCAGGGACTTTGTGGGACTTTCTTCTTCCCTACCAGATGTGGAAGAAGAGAACGACTCAAAAAAACTTGACAAAAATTTCTTCTTTTCTTGTTTGTTTAATGCCCTAGATAATTGCTCAGTAGAATTTTTGGGTTGGGGAGAAGTCAAGCACCCCACACTTAATTACTGTATATCATGGTTAACCACTTTGAATACTAAAATAGCAGTATAGAACTTTATACATAAGAAAGTATTAATTTCTATAGTGTGTTACTATAATAGTGAAAAATTTGTAACAGCCAAAATGCCCTATAATAGAGGGATAGTGAAATTAATGATAATCCATGTGATGGATGCAACTTTTAAAAGTCACATATTAAAAAATATTTACCGCCCGGCCGGGCTTGGCTCAGTGGTTGAGCATCGACCTAGGATCCAGGCGATCGGGGTTCGATTCCTGGTCAGGGCACATGCCCGGGTTGCGGGCTCAATCAGTGACTCTCTCATCATTGATGTTTCTATTTCTCTCTCCCTCTCCTTTCCTCTCTCTGAAATCAATAAAGATATATTTAAAAATATATATATATTTACCGACATGAGAAAGTCCAGTGTGTTGAGAGAAAAATCAGAATACAAGGAAATGCATACAATATTATTATTTATATGATATCACATATATGGCAAAGTGAATGCCAGGAAATACATCAAATATTAAAAGATGTTATCTCTGGATGATAGGATTATAGATAATTTTTATTTTAGTGTTTATCCTTTTCTATGTTCTGTCTTTTGAATAATGTTATGCTAATAACCACAAAAATGACATTAAAGTATTTTCAGGGGTCATAGGAGAAAATCCTGAAAATCCCACATAACCACTGCTCCAACAGAAAAGCTATCTTATGATTCATATTAACAAAAATAATTCAATATATAGAGCTTTTGCAATGTACTATAATGGAAACAGCTAATATAGGTGAAGGCATTCTCTTAGTTAACAGCACCAGGCTGGTAATAGTTTTAAGTATATGGATGCTGGAGTTAATGCATATTGTTACATTCCAACCTCTTTTCTGTTTGGCTCTTACACCCAAACTGTTCTGTGTTGACAGTGCCACCTATTGATGGACTGCTTGACTCACTCCTTTTCTCATTGCGGGCTCATTCAGTAGCAGCAGTTTTTTAATGTTTATGAGGTGCCAGGTACAGTTGACTCTTGAACAACGCAGGGGTTAGGGGCGCAGATCCCCTGCACAGTCAAAAATCTGCATATATCTTTTGACTCCCAAAACTTTACTACTAAGAGCCTAGTGTTGATTGGAAGTCTTATCAGTAACAAATAGTTGATTAACACATATTTTGTATGTTACATATGTGATATAGTATATCCTTACAATAAAATAAAAGAAAATATTAAGAAAATCATAATGCAGAGAAAATATATTTACACTATGTATTGAGAAAATCTGTTTATAAATGGACACATACAGTTCACATCTGTGCTGTTCAAGAGCCAGCTGTACTTTGCCAGTCACTGAGGATACAAAGGTGAATGAGACATGATTTCTGTCCTCAAATTGTGGTTGAGAAAACTCTTCTTCTTGGGCTATCAGGCCATATTGTATACTCTGTTTTTCCTATTTCACTGCTCATGGCCTGGCACTTAAGGCAGTATCTTTCTCCTGGTGCTCATGTATCCTTTTTAAACTTTCTTTATGGGAAAATATGTTCTGAGTTCCAGACAACCAACTTATAAGAACATTTTTGGGATATTACTTGATTGTATGTTGGGGAATCTTACATTAACAAAGACTGCATGTATGTCCATCTGTGGATGTTATTTGTACAGCGTGTGGCAATTTCTTGTGACCTCTTTTTCAAAAGCAAGAAAGTAGAAAGAACAGAGAAGAGACAAACTATCAAGAAAAATGAGGTAGGCTCTAGCCAGTGTGGTTCAGTTGGTTGAGCATCATCCTGTGCACTGAAGGGTCTGGTGCATGCAGGAGACAGCCGATTGATGTTTCTGTCTCACATTGTTGTTTTTCTCTCTCCCTCTTCGACTCTAAAAATCAATGAAAACATATTTTAAAAAGAAAGAAAGAAAAATAAGGTGAAAGATATCTAGGGAGTTTTCCTGCTATTGCTATTTTCACTGAGGAATAGTGAGTCATCAAAGAGTATAATAAGATACTGTTTTTAATATACTTTTAGTATCTTTTTAGGTTCATGTAAAAAGACATTTTCTATATGTATATTAGTGTATATACATACATAAACTCACAGTTTAGCTGTTTTCACTTCCAAATAAAAGCTGAAATGAAGACTGGAAATTTCTTAAATTTCTTTTTATTTATATATTATAGAAATGTACAATTGAAATCTATATGATCTTATTAACCAATGTCACCCCTAAATTTAATTTAAAATTTTTTTCTTTTTCTTTTTGCTGTAATATTGCTTTATAGATAAGACATTTTTATTTTGACGTTTTAAAACTACAGAAAATTATAAAAAATAGTAAACATGCACATACCCATCATATAAACTTAACATTTTTTCATTTTTGCTTTAGACACATGTTTAATATAAAAGAAGTATGTATATTATAGTTATCACATTGAATTCTAAAAGAGCTGTGTATAACTTTATGCTGTACTTGAACAATGCTGGTCCAGTTAAAGTCCCATTTGTTCTCCCCAATTTCATCCTCTCTCCTCATATTCTCTCCAAAAAGCAATTGTTATGATAAATTTGAGGTGTATCCTTACAGTTTACCCTTTAATAAACTATAAATATAAACAGTATATGGCACTTCTTTGGATGCTTTTGAAGAGTGTGGACTTTGGAGTCATGCTTCCTCGG